CTTTCCTCATGTATGAATGTATCTGTTGACTTTTTTTTTTTTTAAAGTTTAAAAAATAAAAGTGGGTGGGAACCAGCAGTTAGCGTAATGGCTATGTTATGTCGCTGGACTCCCACGTAGTCGACCGCGGTTTCACGTCCCGGACCCGGTGGCTTAAAACTCACGCCAGGCGCGTGTGTGTACGTGCCCAAGATCCCAAGAGGAGAATGGAGCAGAAGGGATTGCAGTGTGACCATCCCCCCTAGGGATGATTTCTCGCTTTCTGTCTCTCTGTCTGTCTCTGTCTGGCGAGCGCACGTGCCCAATAGCGAAAACCTCTCTAAATAAATAAATAAATAAATAAAAGTGGGGGCCGCCAGGTGGTATGGTGGGTAAGGGTGCTAGACTCCCACATGGCTGACCACAGTTCGAGTCCCAGAGCTGGTGGCTTGCTTTCTCACTCTCTCTTTCTCTCTGATCAATTTCTTTTAATTGAATGAATAGATGGAATTAATTCTAAAAATAAATCAATCAATAAATACCTAGTTGTAAAATCTATGTTAATGCAAGAGAGAGAGAACATTCCCCAAGAGTGTCCAGTCACACTGTAATCCTTTTTCCCATTTCTCCATCCTGTCAGAATCTTGGACATGTGCACACATGCCTAGCATGTTTTTCAAGCCACAGGGTCTGGGATTCAAACTGTGGTCGGCCATGTGGGATCCAGCTTCTTCTGCACAATTAACCACCATACTACAAGGCCAGTCCTGCAAAATGCACATTAAAGTAACAAAAATCTAAAAGCAAAACTGCCTATACTTCCATCATCTAATCAAATGATTGTTTCCATTGGCCCATATCACCTTCTGATTCTTATCAAATGTATTTGTAATTTTTCCTATTGCAATATTATCCGACTCCTTTTTTTCTTGGTGTTTGCTATAGGCAGCGTGTGTTCACCAGAAAGAGAGTCAGAGAGACAGAAAGTAAGAAATCACCCCCCCACACACAGGGGGGATGGCCGCACTGCAATCCCTTCTCCTCCATTCTCCTCCCAGGATCTTGGGCACGTATGCACACGCGCCTGGCATGAGTTTAAGCCACTGGGTTCAGGACTTGAACCGCAGTCAACTACATGGGGAGTCCAGTGACGTAGCCATTACACCATCTGCTGGTCCTCTATCAGCGTCATTTTATAGTCTACATTTTCACTTCTTGGGTCATTAGTATTTTTCCATTTCACTACTCTTTCTTACTCCTACTTCACTCCCTTGAGATACTGATATTCTCCACCTCTTTCTCTATATTGAATCCTCCAGTATGGGCAGGGGAACACCTGAACGATATTTAAACCGGAATAACTGACTAGTCCTCCCTCCCGTTTTCTTGTACTCCTGACATACCCAGCCATAATAACCATTCTTTGTTTCTAACGTTGAGAGAACATTATTTTCCACTCCTTGCTCCAGAAGACCCTACTTCCTCCTACCCACGTTGCTAGAAAATAACCAGAAGGAAAAAATCACAAGGATTAACTTCCAAAAGGCAAGAGTTTCAGATTCACAACTCTTCCATGGATGACAGCAGCAGAAACTTGTGAATTTTCTTTGCTCAGCTACTCACGCACACATGCCTTCATCCTATTTTTCTTCCCTCCTTCTCTGTGCCCTTAGATGTCCTCTAGCCACCTCATGACTTCCGCCTTGACGCGCAGTTCCAGCTGCCTCAGAACTCCAGCTAACCGATGGGCTGACGTAAGCTCTTAGTAACATAACCATTCCATTTCAGTAGCTCTGCCCGCCTTCTCAAGTCCCCAGTACTTCTTGGCTCACTCACTCAAGTTTATCATTTTGTGCCCGGCTACTCCCCACCTTATCAGCTCTGACCTTGGAAAGAGGGAAAGCAAAAGAGGGGCAGTGATACGGTCTACAATCAGCCCTTTAGCAAAGACAGTGAAATGGACATTTTTTCTCCCCAGGACAGCCTTGGCCATGAGACCCCTCATAGTCAAAGCTGCTGCCTCACCTTAAAAGGTTCTGTGTTGGGACCAGAAGGTGGCGTAATGGTGAACCACGTAGTCGACTGTGGTTTGAGTCCTGGATCCAGCGGCTTAAAACTCAGGCTAGGCGCGTGTGGTGCATGCCCAAGGCCTGAGGAGAATGGAGAAGGGATTGCAGCGTGGCCATGCCCCCTGCAGGGGGGGGGGCGGGGGATGGGGGAGGTGATTACTCACTTTCTGTCTCTGTCTCTCTGGTGAGCATATGCATTCACACACCTTCAAAGGTCTTTGAAAAGAATTTAACTGGAGCCAGCCAATGGTGTGGTGGTGAAGGTGGCTGGATTCCACATGACTGACTGAAAGATCCAAGTCCTGGACCCTGCAACTTGACAAAACTCACCAGGCATGTGTAGGCATGCATGCCCAAAATCCCAAGAGAATGGAGAAGGGACTACAGTGTGGCCATCCTCACACACCTTCAAAGGTCTTTGAAAAGAATTTAACTGGAGCCAGCCAATGGTGTGGTGGTGAAGGTGGCTGGATTCCACATGACTGACTGAAAGATCCAAGTCCTGGACCCTGCAACTTGACAAAACTCACCAGGCATGTGTAGGCATGCATGCCCAAAATCCCAAGAGAATGGAGAAGGGACTACAGTGTGGCCATCCCCCTGGGGGATGCTTTCTCACTTTTTCACTCTCCAGTAAGTGCGTACACCCTATAGCAAAAAAACAAACAAACAAAAAATTAATGGTTAGGCGCTCTGTAACTGCTATAGCGTATACTCAGATTTCAGATCTGAAACCTTTCTTGATTCAGCTTTGATATGGGGCGGGGGGAGGGGGAGTAAGAAACAATCCCTCAGCCTGTCGAAGAGGCAAAGGTGACTTACTCTGGTCAGCCCTGGAACCCACTGCTATGTCCCCTGTAGGGCCACTGAAGACAGACTTCAGAGTCACATAAACACTTAGGTCCCAATTCTATCACTCACTGTGCGATCTAGGCGAGGTCAAATATTCTGAGTCTTGCAACTGCACTGCTATTCTCCAAACTGAGATAAACTTTAAAAATGCATAGTCACGTAATATAATCGTGGATTCATGGCATTAAATGGAATGTGGTTTGTGCCAATCAAGGGTTATACAATGCTGGTTTAACTCATCTGCCATTTAGTTTTCCAGCCTAAGGAAAGCCTTTGTTAACTAAGCAAATGTTTGGTTTTCCCACCAAGAACAGAAATCGGCCACACAGTCAAATGTCTCTTGGATTCCAATCTATGGCTGATAGTCCCAATCCCTGGCTGATAGATCTACAGAAGCAAAACTAAACTTTTTCTGGTGACGAGTAGTTTAAAGTCTCTAAGTACGTACCTCGATCCTGAAAATGTAATTCAGAGGTGGGGCTGGCAGGTGGCATGGTGGTTAAAGGCGCTGGATTCCCACATGGCCAACCATGGTTCGAGTCCCAGACCTGGTGACTTGCCTTCTCACTTCCCCTTTCTCTCTCCCTCTGTCTCTCTCTGGTCAAATTTAAAAAATAATAACAAATAGAATTAAATAAATAATTTTTTAAAAATGTAATTCAGAGGAAGCAGACAGCGGTACACCACTAAATGGTATGTTCTCAAGACACTGACCCCATGGGAAGATTCCACATTCACGTCCACAAACATCCACAAGCACACCTCGCACTTTAGAGGCCCATGATCCAGGGCTGGCTGGGGCTGGCTGGGGATGGGGGTGGAGCGTAAACTGAGAGCCTGCCGAGGACGCTGTCTCTCATCACTCTCTCTGTCTTACTCATGGAAGAAATAAACTTAAAAAAAAAAAATGTAATTCAGAGGGCCCACAGATGGCATGAAGGTAAAGGCGACTGGATCCCAGAGAGACAGCTATGCGGTTTGAGCCTTGGACCTGGTGACCTGAAACACTGTGGATGCGTGTGTGTGCATACCCAAAATTCTAAGACGAGATGGAGGTAAGGAAATTGTGGCATGTTCATGTTTCTCTTTCTCTCTCTCTCTCTCTGGCAAACACACACGCCCTATAGCAAAAACAGCAAAACTATAATTCAAGGACTTCAACTGAAGAAGTAAGGCCTCACTCAGAAGCATTTAATTAAAAGAAAAATAAGTTGGGGCCAGCCAGCAGGTGGTGTGGTAGTTGGGGCACTGGACTCGGATCAAGTCCTGGACCTGTCAGCTTCTCACTTTCCCTCTCCCTCTCTAGTGAGCACACATGCCCTATAGCAAATTAAAAAATAATAATCAAAGTTGGCAGGTGGCACAGTGGTTAAGGGCACCGGACTCCAACAGGCCCATCCATGGTTCAAGTCCTGGATCTGGCAGTTTACTTCCTCACTTTCTCTTTCTCTGGTCAAATCTAAAAAAAAAAATAATAAAGTTAAATAAAATAATACTTGTAAAAAATTTTTTAAAAGTCAACAAACAGAGGGAACCAGCAGTTAGCGTAATGGCTATGTCGCTGGACTCCCACGTAGTCGACTGCGGTTCGCGTCCCGGACCCGGTGGCTTAAAACTCACGCTGGGCGTGTGTGCATGCGTGCCCAAGATCCCGAGAGGAGAATGGAGGAGAAGGGATTGCGGCGTGGCCATCCCCCCAGGGGGTGATTTCTCGCTTTCTGTCTCTATGTCTCTCTCTGTCTGGCGAGCACACGCACCCTATAGCAAAAACCTCTACAAAAAAAAAAAGTCAACAGACTAGCAGTTGGCATAATGGCTATGTTGCTGGACTCTCGTGTAGTCGACCGTGGTTCGAGTCCCAGACCCAGTGACTTAAACTCACTCAAGGCACGTGTGCATGCGTGCTCAAGATCCCAAGGAGGGAATGGAGAAGGGATTGCAGCATGGCCATCCCCCCGGAGGGCGATTTCTCTCTTTCTGTCTCTCTGTCTCTCTCTGTCTTTCTGGTAAGCGCACATGCCCTATAGCAAAAACCTCTCCAAAAAACAAAACAAAACAAATAAACAAAAAAGTCAACAAACCATATTTTTTTCTACTTTTATTTATAAAGAACACAATTCCTCCCAACACAGACACACACACACATTTCAAGGAGGAGCCTATTAAAAACAACATGACAACAACAGAACTGGGAGAACAATGGGACCCTATCTAGCAACAGTCTCTGTATCCCAGACTCAGGGATCACTGTGAACACTTTCTCAGATAGAACGTCTCGCCTCAAGGACAGGAGAGGGAGACCTTGATCCAGAGGGACACCCGCCCCCAAGGCAGAAAGTCCCATACTCAATCTTCAGCATCATCAAACTGTCCTGTTTCAAAGACCATCTTGGAATAGTGGGGTATCAGTGGAGGTGGATGGTGCCAGCTGGGGTCATAGAGCAAGTCTCCTTGTGGGGCGCAGCACACCCAGGGCTTGATCTCTTGAGAAAGGCTTCCCTGGATGTCGTCAGCATCTGAGGGCAGTTTTAAAAGGCAGATTAAAGGAATGAAAATAAAAACAAGTAGCAAAAAAAAAAAGAAAAAGAAAAAACACGTTTAGAGGACAGCCACTTGCACTTTGTTAAAAAACACACATATATGCTTGTGCGCACGCACACACACACACAGTCCTTCTTCCTGAGAACCGCAAACATGTTCATTCTGAACAACCCATAGCTGTATTTCTCAGACAAGGATTCTCAGGGCAGAGAGGAGGAACCGGATACAGAAGACTTCTATTTGCAGCTGCTAAGTCACAGCTAAGATGTTTGGAGAGAGTAGCATAGTTCTGATGTTAAAACAAAGTGATACATTATAGAGTCAGATGCAAATTTTGCATCTATTTTCTTTTCAATATGAAAGACAAACTAGCACAGAAATTTCAAAGCTGTAACAGACATTGGGCAAAGCTCTGAGATGTGGACCCCTCTGCCAAACCACCTGCCTTCAAGAGCAGTCTGGCAGGAGGGTCTAAGAAGCCCAGGTGTAGGACCCCAGAAACTCCACACCTACCATACGGATTCCCTTGATCTGCTTTCAACTCCAAGTCCCAGTCCTCACTAAAAAGATCACCAGTCTGTTCCCTGGGCGGACAGTGTGTGCCTTCAGACAGTTCCCAGGTATCCGGTTCCCCATCAGATTCCTCCTCATCCACAGCAAAGCCTTCCTCTTCAGAACGAGTGCCCTCACCGTGGGCAGGACTGTCATTAGCGATGCTCTGTGCTCCGCTGGCTAAAATACAGTAAAGAGGAAGGTCTTAGAAACAGGCCTGCTTCTAAGCATGGAAAAATGAGCGGACAGTAAAACAAATGTACAGAGTTCATTTCTTTTTTATTTATTTAAGAATTATTTTATTGGGGGACCAGCAGTTAGCATAATGGCTATGTCGCTGGACTCCCATGTAGTC